AACGATGCGACAATGCTGTTGGCCGGAAGTTCAGCCTGTAATTTTGCGCGCTTAGAGTTCGTCGCACTGCTACTTTTACTGTTCATCGGCTGCAGCGGCGCTTACCTCAACCTCTTTATCAGTCAATCGCAAGTAAAAAAATTGCTGGGTAAGTACCGAATGTCTCCGTAAGCATTCGCTTATCGAATACTAGCGATGCTCTTGTATGAGGTTTGTATATTAATATTTCAATACACAGGCGCTGCTTTGAGCTTTGGACGAAATTTTATTTTATCGACGTTTATTATGATAATGATGAGTAAATAAGATGAATTAACTTACTAGTATTGCAATGCCTGTTATTTTCTTCTTTTTTTTTTTTTTTTAAACCAAATCGAGCATTTATGCACTCAGACTGCAAGATAAGATTAAAATTATTTTACATTGTTTGATTTCACTTATTAATATAAACTTTCTGATTTTGCTATTAGATTAATAATCTTTATTGATAAATCAAACATATTCCGTAGATATATATATATATATATATATATATGTATGTGTGTGCGCGCGCGCATTTGTATATAATGCAACAAGTTTCTTTTTAATCTCTTTTAATTATTCCCTCTCACTTTAAGATGTTGGAGGGAAATTATTTATCTAATAATTATAATTAAATAATAGTAGAAGCATTCAGGTGACAATGAATATTTCTTTCAAAAGTTAATATAATACTTCTTTGTATTTAGAAAAAAAATGTATCTAATTTCAAATAAGTTTATAACCATTCTTTGATTATATTGGCATTTTGAAAGAAAATGACGGTCCTTCACTCGAAAATTTAAAAATAATGTTTATCTATACTTTCAATTAATTTTTTAACTGAACCTAAAAGTGTTCATTGGAACAAATGATCGTGTATCCTATTATCGTACATTCATTTTTAATTTTTTTATTATAATATAACCAATATTGCGCTTATTACATATATTATTTTGAAGGTGCTTTCTTGTTAATATATATTGCTCATTACTTCGAACTATGTCAATTTTTAATTATGTGGCTAAAATTTTTGTAAATTTTCTAAAATCGCTACACTCACTTATTTGACTATCAAAGCTCTACCGAAATAAATTCTTCACATAATACAGTATAATATAGTATAATATAGTATAATATAGTATAGAAATAATATAGTAATAAAGTTTTTCTATACTTGTAAGTTAATCTTCATAAAGTTCTATAGATTTTAAGTCTATAGAATTTGGTGTTATGCCTAAGATTTAAGAATAAAGAAATTTAATATAAAAGTCTCATGTATTATAAAGATAGTAATATATAATATATTAACTTGCAATGATTTATTTCGTATTTACGTCATAATTTAATATTAACAATATCCACATATATCTAATTTAAGCGCTAAATTATCAAAGCAAAACAATTATATGAATGATCGTTAATTGTTTCAAATATCGCTTACTTTGTATATTAAAAGTCATCCATTGGGTGCATTAATTTGAAAATACATTCAACTTAGAAAACCATTAAAGTTTATTGTTACACAATACTAATTTAGTGTGTCTACTAACAATATTGTAATTGTGTTCTTGAGTATCTAATTAAAATATTCAATAATTCATAATTGAGCATCGGAAGCACTTTCGTTGTAACTAGAACATGACAATGTATATTAAGAGACATCATTTGCATATTATTTTATAAAATTACGAATGATATTAATAAACCGCATTACTATTTTATCGAAATAATATCTTCAATTAAAAATTGATAATTACTTTATTCATCTGAACATAAATAATTATAATACTATTCATAAATATTATTATTTCATAAATAATGACTTGTTCCAAATTTAATTTACTAAAAGGAATATTTTATAAAAACAATAAGAAGCATGTCAAACAAGATTTTTTCACCTATTAGTTATTTATCAAAAACAATTTTTTATATAGTAATTATATAAATACATTGAAATCAAAACTCTTAAATTTATTTGGAAATAAAAAAGAAAAACATAAATTCGATGGCAATTAATTTTCTACACCATATATATTTACAAGACACTAAGACGATTATTAGAAGTAGACAATCTCTTCTAAAGATATCAAATAAGAAATATTTCGTTTATCCAAGTTCTATTATAAACTTCTTGAGTGAAGTATTTGGCTTAATGTTGAAATATCGGTGTAAAATAAGTTTTAACGCGAAATATCATCTGCTAATACATAAAATCATTTGTTAATACACAAGTAAAAATATTATAAAGTCTAAAAAATTTTTTCAGATATTATTATTTCGATAATTATTAAATTTTTATAATTAAAATTTATTAAGATTTGGGGCGGAAATTCCTTACGTAGAATTTAACTCTTTAAATCGATCTTCAACCATCATTTATTATAAATTAGCTCAAATATCGCACGTTAATTAACTGCAGAGTAGAAGCTGCGCGTATTCCTAATATTATGCATATGATATCTGAATAAAATTATAAAACATTAACTTAATGACATATTGCCGAAATTAAAATTATATAGCAAATATTTATAAAAAAAAATTTTTTATTAAATAAAAAGCTAATTAGCAATAAACATATCATTATTCAATAATTTTATTTTGATTAAGTGAAGTCTGTATAAGTCAATACAAATATCTATAAAAAAAATCATTCATAATTTCTTCATTTGTCAAATTAATTTATATTAAAAATATAATGTAAATATTTAATAAAGTAATGATAGTCTAACTAAAAAAATTTCTTTTTAACGTTAACGGTAAAAATTGTTATAGAAGTATACAACTTTGTTTAATATGTATAACAAAAGCAGGTGGTAATTTAATGATATTACAAATATTTCAAATATATTGATATTTTAATAGTTTTTTTTAAAACTAATAATACCTATGAAGTATTTGTTATTCAAGTAGTATATGAGAATAAAAATTATCAATGAATAATAAACGATAATTTATATATTAAGATTTATAATTACATAAAATACATGAAGATTGCATGATTAAACATTTGTTATGTATGGATAAATGGATTTATTGCATATTAGTATTAGATTTATCTATATATATATATATATATATATATATATATATATATATATAACTGGATGTAACTGATTTACATGAATGTAAATAATTCTCATAATAAGAGTACATAATTACATACGTAATAACACTGTTTAAATTGCTATCTTTACAAAGCTTATATGTAATCTAAGCTTATTAATTTATTTAATTTATATATTAAGGGCAGTTATATCCGATATTCTATGTATTTTTAATCTTTGCACTTATTATCTACAAGTAAAAACAAAAATAATAATTTTATTGTTCAAAATAAATTAATGGCTAAATTCATTCATTTATATACGTTTGTATTCCATTCGTTTTACTTTATAAATTATTTTTTATTTCAAATTAAATAAACGACCGATACATTAATTTTGAAATTTTAAGAATCCCTCTTCTTACACTAACGCAACTCCCCCCCCCTCATTACAAATATAAAATAACGATAGAAGCATATATTTAAGAGAAAAAAATCTTAAAACAGCAAAAAACATGCAAGTGATAAAATGATTGGAGTGACGGTAGCGCCTACCACCCTCTTATTTTTATTTTAAGTACAACAATAATTTTTCAAAAGAACAATGAAAACGGCATAAGAATTTTATATTTCCCTGTTAAATTATTCAATGCGAGTCGGACAATAATAGTCGTAGATCGATAATAATTATCGCCGGTTACGCATACGCAGGCTTACCTTTAGCTTGCATTTCTTCCACGCTACGGCGCCCAACGTATCATTAAGGTCGATAAATCATTAAGGTTCAATAAATCATTAGGGTAAGGAGCGTAAGGGCGCCGTGAAAAAACACTCGGCGACTACATATTTCGCGGATGGGTAGACGCCGCATGTCCCTATATGCCAACGCACAACAGCCATTATCAATTTGCACTCGCGCCTCAACGAGTCTCCCAAGTCCCTTCGAGGCGCACCGACTCTTGGATTTACGACCCCCCCCCACCACAATTTGGACGCGCGCACGCACGCGTGTGATTCATTCGAGCGTGCGCGCGCACCGGCCGCGAAATTCGCCACTCCGCGGAACAAGCATAAATTTTTCCGCGACGCGGTTTATCTAATTACGTTCGTGCGTGCACCACGACCCACCACCGACTCAACCCCACCCAACGATCGGCAGCACGGGCGCTCTAACCGTCGCCGTCGCCGTCGCCATCGCCGTCGCCATTCCCACAACCCGATTTGTTCGGAGCGACTTGGTGGTCGTGGAGTTATAGCGGCTTTGACAAGAACCAGACTACCGAAGATTCTCGTGGTTATTTACGGCTCCGAGCTTGCTGTGACCGAAGACTCCTCCTCGTAAGTAGAATTCGTTTCTTTATTCTTCCCGTATTCGCGGGATTGCTGATACCGGAAGTCTCTATTGAGGCTTGATTGTACGACACTTTTTCTTCAAAACTTTTATCTGCTCTTTTATTGCGCCCGACAGTCGCGGTGAGATTGTTGCGCTGAGAATAATATACACGATAATAAAGTTAAATTTGTAAACGAGGAGGTTTAAGAAAGTTTTTATATTCATAAATATGCCAGCATCGGATGAGCTTTTTAGTTTAAAAAAGCATTTCCCTTCCTCAATGGAAAAAGGTAATAATGATAAAATCGTAGCCCCGACAATTAATAAATAGTCACTATGTAATACGACGAGCAAATCATCTTAACATGAATTTAAAGCACAAGAAAATATATAAATATAAGATTTAAATTATTTTTATACTTCATTTCAGTGTCTATTTATCATAATCTACTAATCAAAAAATACCAATTCAAGTTTTGAAGTTTACATTTCGAATGATACATTACGACTACATAAACCCGTTGCTCGCTACCTTCGGTACATCGTTACATCGTTCCCAGGAATTTAAGTTTTTTTGAAAACAAAAAATGAGAAAAAAAAATAATAAATATAGCAGCTGTTTTTGAGCAATTAAGCTAAAAAAAAAAAAAAAAAGACGAAGAAAGGGAAGGGGTAGGGGGATAGAAAATAGTTGGAAAAGCAAAAAGAGAGCAGCTCCAACGTTCACACTTTTACAATTCCTTCTCAAACT